GGGGAGGGGAGGGGAGGGGAAGGGAAAAAAAGAAAAAGAAAAACAAAGAAGAAAAAAAAGGAAAGAAAAGAGAAAAAAAAAAAGGAAAGGGAAAGAATAGAGAAAAAAAAAGAAAAGGAAAGAGAGAGAAAAGAAAAAGAAATGGAATTAAAAAAAAATATATATTTGGGACAGGTATGAGTGCAATACATGTGGAGACTTTGGGAAAGAAAGTTAAAAAAAAAAAAAAGCCAAACTCAAACAATGTTTTTTTGGGATGTGCTTGGCTGATTTGCCAAAAAATAAACTTGGGAAAAAAAAAAAAAAAAAAGTTGAATTTTGTGAACAAGTGCAATGAATCCCAGACTTTTGGGGCTGCAGTTTAAGATTTAGAAGATTTGATGGTTTGCAATGATTTCTGATCTTCTGCAGCTGAAAAAAACATGGCTGGCAGCCCGGGATGGAGAAAATCCCATGTAATTCTGTGGGGTTGGACCGTCGTCTTATGGGGTGAGTCCAAGTGGGGCTGGAGGAGTGCACCATAACCTGTCAAATCCCTCCCCAAATCACCTTAAAATCTGATTTTTCAGTCCAAGGGAACACATCTCATGCACTCATCCTACGGCACGATGGGGAAGAGATAAAATTACCCCCTTTTGAAACACATACGAGGGAAAATCAAGGGGCAAAACCCCAACCCAAGGTGTGTTTTTGGGGTCGTTTTGTTTAAAATAGGGAAGTTTTCCCCTCTGGTTGGAACCTGATCCTTCAGTATCTGTATTTCCAGCCCTTCAAAAGGAATGGGAATGGTAACACCCAGTTGTTCCCTTTTAGTTTCTCCATCCAGCACAAAACCCACCCAGAAAGTTCATTTTTTGCCCCTCAAATTAATTGTGATTTCTTTTAGTAGACCCCCTACGTCCACACTCCTTCAAATACATCTGTGTTGGAGCTGGTGGATGTTTGGTTCAATCATCCACTAAACCGGATCCATCAAATTAATGTCCTCTAATGGACATTTGTTCTAATTGCTGGTCCTTCAGAATGATGTTTCTCCAAAATCCACCAAATGGATCCCTCCAAAATTATATTTTTTTCCCATCTGATATCCCTCCAAATTGATAACCCATCAAATCCATCAATCTGGTCCCACCAAATCAACATTTCTCCCATCTGATATCCCTCCAAATTGATAACCCATCAAATCCATCAACCTGATCCCTCCAAATCAACATTTCTCCCATCTGATATCCCCCCAAATTGATAACCCATCAAATCCATCAACCTGGTCCCTCCAAATCGACGTTTCTCCCATCTGATATCCCTCCAAATTGACCCTCTACCCGATCAAGATCAAACCAGATTCCACCTGAAGGCCGACTTGACTCTGAGTCACCATCTCAGCTCACCAAATATGATAAATCTTCCCCTTCCCTGCACTTCCATAGGTGTTCTTCATTTCCCCAACGTCGCCGTGTCGGCCCCACACCACCTGGGCAAAGAATTTGTGGTGTCCTTCATGCAGAACGGCTTGCAGCAGACCCTCAACAGCGACTTCAAGCTGCTCATCAGAGGTTATTCACCCTTCACATCCGTCACGATCTCCATGAAGAAGCCAGGCTTGAGGATGACGGTGCAAGTGACCACGGGGCAAACCGTCCTCGTGAAAATCCCACCCCAAGCGGAGATGGTGGGGAGCAAAACCTTTGAAAACACCGTGGTGGTGAAGGCCAACAACCCCATCTCCTTGGTGGCCATCAACGAGAAACCCACCTCAGCAGATTCCACAGTGGTCTACCCTTTACACAGCTGGGGCACCGAATACCAAATCGTGACGCCCAACGTGGGCACCGACCGCTACGGTGAATTCACGGTGGTTGCGTGGGACGAGCCCACCACTGTTGAGGTTCACCTCAAAGCCACGGTGACGTATCAAGGCCAATCCTACCCTCGTGGTTCCGTGCTCCCCATTCAACTGAAGCCTTTCCAAGCAGCCCAGCTCCAAAGCCCAGCAGATATGTCTGGCACCCGCATCGTGGCACAAAAACCCGTGGCCGTCTTCACCGGTCACACGTGCGTGGCAAGACTCACCCAATGTGATCATTTAGTAGAGCAGCTCCGACCCGTTTCCAGCTGGGGCAACACTTTCATCGTGCCTCCGTTGCCTTTTGATGCTCAATCTGACATTGTCTACGTCTCCACATCCCAACCCACACATGTGGAATCTCAACATGGGATGAGTAGATCAGCTCGGGATCTCCGGGCCGCTCGCTCAACTCTCTACGGACTCCAAGCCCCAAATACTTTGTACCTCTCTGCCAATGCTGGCATCCAGGTCATTTTTTTTGGTGATGGAGGTAACAAAGGCTCCATCACTTACGATCCGTTTTTTATGACCATCCCAGACGTCTCCAGCTATTGCCTATCCCATAATGTCTTCTCTCTGGAGGGTTACGAGAATTACATTCTACTGATCGCCAAGACCTCAGAAGTGGCTGGGATAATGCTCAACAAAATGCCCTTAGGAAATACCATGTGGGTGCCCATCCCGGGCACGGAATACTCGTGGGCAAGGCAAAATTTAGGCAGTCAGTTTGCTGTCCATACAGTGGAGCACAAGACGTCCCCTTTTGGGGCGCTCAGCATGGGGATCCGGGAGCAGAAATCCTATGGGCTGATGGCAGTGTGTGATAGTGGTGAGTGCCCCACACCCACCTCCACCTCTCTTTTCCCTTCTGTGTCAAAAATGGGGCAGTGGCACATGGCAAAACCACATCAAAATGGATTCCTCTGGGTTGGGTGCTTCTGGTGTCCCCTTTACCCCCCCCCTGCAGCATCTGCAAAAGTATCTAAAAATGATCTCTTCGAGCTGAAATTCGGATTTTCTCTCGTATTGCAAGGGCTGGTAGCTCTGAGAGGAAATAATTCAACCAGCAGGTTTAGGAGAGGGATATATGATGAATAAATGCATCCCCCTCCAATTAATCACAGAATTACAGAATTGTAGGAGTTCGAAGGGACCTTGAGAGATCTTCTAGTCCAACCCCAATCCATCCCCCTCCAAATAACCCATTGCCCTCCAAATAACCCATCCCCCTCCACATAACCCACCCACTCCAAATAATCCA